AATATATGTAAATGTGTATATATATGTGGATATATCTGTATATATTTATTTATTTATTTTAAGTAAAAATATATTACCGTCGAAAAATGCTTGTTTTAGACTTTTTAATGTTACGTGAAAATGTTTACTTTGCACATTGACCACACTACAACATTAAATTCAAAAGAATAAGATTGAAATGGTTATTGTTTTGTAGACGTATATACATAAGAAATTCTTTCATTTTATTTTATTACCGTCATTGAACAGTCGAACTAATTTTAAGCTTACAACTACCAATGTTCAAATCCGTAGGTTTATAATTTTGAACTGGATCCAGAAGACAAAGGAACTCGTCTTCAGGAATTTATCTTCATGGAATTTATCTTCAAAATAACTAATTATCAGAGGAGTTTATCTTCAATGAGGATTTATTGATGGGACTAATCCGTTTTTACGTTGCATGTTGAGAAAAACCGTGAAAACTCCTAAGTTACTTTGTTGACAAGGGATCTCTAACCCATGATTCGTCTACTACTGAGTATATTTTACTTCAGCACTGTGGTTAGGTATTCAACTCATTGGGTGGCGAGCGCTTAATCCCTTGAGCCACCTCGGCTCGTGAAATACTTTTTAAAAATAAACAAACAAAGAATTCTAAATTTTGGTTAATTTCTTTGAAAAGTGATAAAAATTATAAATGATGGAGTAAACAATTTAAATTTCCATACCAGCCAAATCATAAATAAAATGAAAATAAGTGAAAGTTAATCTCTTGAATTACAAGAAAAAGCGATGCTCTGATAACTTATAAAAGTAGATATAAGTGAAAAGCTTGAGTGCGTGAATACCTGCATAAACATGTATTACAAAAAAAAATGAAATAAAAAGCTTTAAAATTTACATTTTTAAAGTAGACTGAAAAGAATAAAATAATTAGTTTTTTGTAATCCTCAAAGCTAAAAGCATAATTTTTTTACTAAATTTTTGTCAATACCGGAACAGGAAGCTGATTAAAAAAACCTGCATTACCTCATTAAGAAGCGTAATTTTTAAAAAAAAAAATAGTTCTGTTAATAATAGAAATAGTCTTAGTTCTGTTTTGCTGTTTTTTTGGAACTCATACACAGACTCTAAGAGAACACTCATACATGTATTGCAGCATTGCCATCAAAGTTACCCATAGGATTGGCAAACATGCAGTAATAATTTAATTTAATGTCAACGAAGGAAAAAAAATTGACATTAACTTATAATCTCTGCGAACTAATTAACTTGGAATCTCTGCAAAGAGAAAGAAGATTTAAGTTAGTAGGCGAATTTTTCAACTTATCTGGCTGAAGACTGATATCGGTTCCATCTCTTTCAATTTTGATCAATAATTAATTAATTCCTTTTGGCAAAATATATTTTTGGAAGACAAAATCGAAAAGCATTGGAGATATCTCTTTCATATTATACTTCTATCATCAGTGGAAATTCCCCATGCCTTTTGATAAAGCAAACTTACAAATATCTTTCAAAAATAAAATTACTTTCCTTTTTTATTTTATTTGAAAATTGTAATTTTAGTTCCAAAAATCTTCAGTTAGTTTTATCACTTACCTTTTCTGTTCTTTTAGTTTTGGTTGTTTACGATTATTGTTAGATGAGGTAAAGCATTCTAAGCTTTAATTTGCGATAAACGGCAACAAAGTTTGCTTGCATTGTATAAAGTTTTTTGTTTTCAGACGTAGATCTCTAACTGAAATTTGAATACTCTAGCTAGGCAAAATTTGGTTTTGCCTCAGTAATTTCCTTTTGGTGATAATATAAAGATGTGTTCTGCCTGAAGAGGTTACAAAGAGACTAGAATCATTTCGTCATCTAGAATAAAGTTCCAGATAAAATGTTAGCTCACTATCTATTAAAATATTTGACGGCAACTTCAGTTTGGCTGTAAAGTGACAATACATTCAAATCGTAAAAGCACGGAAGCGATTGAACTTGAATTGTCGTAAGAATTATAGTTTTAAAATCGAATTTTAACTCAGTATTGTAATGTGCAATACATTCAAATCGTAACAGCTGGAAAGCGATTCAACATGAACTGTCGCAAGATTTCTTATAACTTTAATTCAGGATTTGTTCCTTTAAGAGATAAGTCTGCGAATTATGTTTAGAATCCTTGTAGTGCTCAGATGTTGAGTGAAGATTGTATCGCCATCCCGAAAAGAGCTTGAAATAAAAATTTGAGTACTCTAGAAAGTGATCTTTCCTCCTATTGACGTAAAAGTCAGTTAATGAAAACGTAACAAAATGGTAATGAGAATCACTTAAATAATCTTTGCAATATTTTTTATTTTTTCTTAATCATTTTTTTGACATTTTTTAACACAAGGGTCGCAAGTAAGTCCTTTACCACATTGAGGAAAACTCTCCGATACTCTTGGTGTCAATCTATTGTCAGCTTCAGCAGAGATTTCTTCTTCCGGTTTAGGTCGAGGATCGCAATCATCCCCTTCATCTGAAACAATGCATGGTATTTAAACTGAGAAGTAACAAAAGTAACTCAACAGTGAAAAAATTTGGCATGTATAGTAACTCAAAATGTTGAAATGGAATAAAATCAACCTTGAATTAATAAAGTTGGATAAAATTTCAGAAGAACGAAAATAACTTAAGGTGATAAAATGGATGCCTCATTACAACTCCCCGAATGGCAACACTAGAAAATCGACCAGTGATTGCCGCTAAAAATGTCACATGCCAAATCTAGCTGAAATGGCTCAACATAGAGCGCTTTTAAGAACGGAAACTGAAATAACCAGAGAGAGCATTCTCACCAAATGTAATCTCTTCCGAAATTCANAAATCTAGCTGAGATGGCTCAACATATAGCGCTTTTAAAAACGGAAACTGAAATAACCAGAAAGAGCATTCTCACCAAATGTAATCTCTTCCGAATGTCACCCTATCAGCTGCGGCAATCTCATACTATTAAGCTAGGCAGAAGTGAGTAGTCTTTGTCTCCATTTTAGTATTTTGTCGAAAGCGCTTTTTTTTCAAGAATTTATATATTAGATATCAGTTTTAGAAATTATATCTTAAGATTTTATACTATAGCACATTTCTAATAGGTTTAACGAATTACATGTCATTTATTTGAATTCAAATTTATTTTAATGACTTAGTATTTACTAAAAAGATGCAATTTTTTTAAAAAGAAAAATTGTTATATGGATTTGAATGATTGTTTTGAATTCTTAGAATTTTCTGCATTTGCAATGTACACAAGTTAGTAGCGAGCGAAGCGAGCTTGGTTTGCGAAGCAAACCATATAAGATTGCGTAGCAATTTTCGGGGTTGGCGAGCGTTAGTGAGCAGGTGGCGCAGCCCACTAGTAAGATAATAATATTTTAAAACGAAAAAAGATAATAAATACAACCTAAAAACTGTACAATATAAATGCATTAAGATAAAGGATTCGAATAAAGTACAGGGTGCTTATAAAGTCCCGGACCCATTTCGATGTTTAATAACTCATAAAATAATAAAGATAGATTAAAATTAATAACATAAATGGTTAGAAAGACTCAAAAAGTTTCATGACTCTTGTCAATGAACGTCCACGTGTGCCCCCTTCGTCGCACGGAGAATATCAAGTCGATAGTCAATTTCACGCCAGGTAGCGGCCAGCATGCCGGCATCCATAGAGGCTATTGCGGTTTTAATTCTGGCATTTAGGTCATCAATGTTCGACACGATCCTCCTGTAAACATTGTCCTTTATAAATCCCCATAGAAAAAAGTCCAGCGGCGTTATATCAGGTGATCTGGGTGGCCAAGGAGTTGGACCTCCTCGCCCAATCCCTCTTCCTGGAAAATGGTCATTCAAAGAACTACGAACGATGATACCCCAATGAGGTGGTGCGCCATCTTGTTGCAAAAAGACATGTGGCCGAAGCTCTTCTAGTTGTGGAAATAAGAAGTTTTCCAACATGTCTAAGTATATAACTGATGAGACCGTTTTTTCTGTTAAAAAGGAAGGCTCAATGACTCGGTCATGCATTAGTCCACACCACACATTAACCTTTGGGGAATCCTTTTGTGTCTCACGGTATTCATGGGAATTTTCAGATCCCCATATGCTCACATTATGGTGATTAACAATGGCAGAAACATGAAAGAATGCTTCGTCGGAGAACATTATGTGCTTCAGAAAGCCTCAATAGCCTCTGTGGATGCCGACATGCTGGCCGCTACCTGGCGTGAAATTGACTATCAACTTGATATTTTCCGTGCGACGAAGGGGGCACACGTGGAAGTTCATTGACAAGAGTCATGAAACTTTTTGAGTCTATCTAACCATTTATGTTATTAATTTTAATCTATCTTTATTATTTTATGAGTTATTAAACATCAAAATGGGTCCGGGACTTTATAAACACCCTGTATTTTACAATTCTAAAATGAAATTAGAATTCCTGAAAAAGATACAAAATAAAAAGGTCTAAAAATGTTAAAATGCAAGTGTTGTAATTGAAATAGTGCTAAAGTGGCCCACAAGTACGAAGATTATTGACATACTCAAGCAGAGCATTAGGGCAATTGTAGATGTCCCTATGTGCAGAGTATATAGAACTATTTATTTATAACCGACGTTGAACAGTCGACCAGATTTTTGGTTTACGATTACTAATGTTCAACTCCGTAGCCTTGCAATTTTTAACTAAACTGACGACTTTTTAAAAATCAATATTGTTTTAAACGTTTTCCTAAATTATAATGACGCTCTTTAAACTTTTTTTAACAGGAAAACAGTTAGGGTTGAGAAAATAAATGCGAAAAGACATATTTTTTCCAAGAAATTAGTTCAAAATTTGGCAAAGAATGACACTGGAAGTCAGTTGTACCTTATTTTTCTTTTACGTCTTGATGCATAAATTCATGCATACTGATGAATATTCATTGTCGTTTGATTATGGGTAATAGTGGTCAGTTCGAAAATATAGTAATGTGATATTCATTTATTGAAAAAGTTTGAAAAAATTAAAAGCTGACTTTCTTTTATTTACGATTTCTATTATTAACAATTTGAAGCACCATCTCTTGAAGCATTTTTGAACTAAATACAAAATTTTAAGAAATATTTATACTCTGTATATATTATCTTTTTTAACCTTATTCCTACTATTTTAAATAGTTAAAAAAATCAGTATAATTTAGAACACCCTGTATGGGAAGGGTCACAAAACCACAAAATCAATTAAATGTATGATGAAACAAACTGAGCTATAAGTTGAGCAGAAATGATAAATTGAAAAACTATTGTTCATTTTAGCAAACATACTGTTTTGAATTATTATTTTAACTATGCCTATATATCTAAGTAACATTCACCATAATTTACGCTGGTAAGATAATAATTCAGACCATATTCTTTTCTTATTCTTTCTTATCTGGTGCCACCCATGAATGTAATAAACGCATTTGAATTAGTCTAAGCTTTGTTAAGATTTATTTTAGTTGTTTTTGATTTAACTACACCCTTTAAAATGTGTATGGATGTTCGATTCGGTACTAACCTGAAATAATACATAATTTTTAGACATTTTCAACACTGAATTCGGATGAGTATTATGCAAAACTTTTTACTGTGTACCGTAAGCAAATACTAAAAGGTTATGTTAGACTTGAGTAAAAACGATAAAGCTTTCGGTCATTTCGTATTTTTAGTAATAAGCACGTAAAAATGGATGGTGGTTATTACTACAAGCACATATAATACATATTATATTATGATAATTCGAAACTTACCTAAAACTTCTTCGCAGCTACCACAGCATGCACAGCCTTCTAAAACACGCCTTGTACCAACCGGACATACAGCTGGGGGGCATTCTTTTACCACCTTACATTTTGGCTTACAAAGAGCTGCATGCCCTACATAGGCAATGAGAAGAACTAAAAACAGTTCCTTATACATGATTCTATCTGTAAGTAAAAATAAAATTAGTTGCATATTATTAACAATTAAATCATCATTAACAATTTTCTGACACTAACTTTTTAGCTGTACATACAATTACAACCAAAAAAATGCAGTGTATGTTATTGGAATCTACTAAACGTAATAAGTAAGTGTGTGAGTATTATAGCTTGTAGATAACTATATTATAATAAAAGAAGAAAAGTAATAATTTTCTGACTTACAAAGATAATGATTATTTTTAAAATTTTAATATTTCTACTCTTTAATAAAATTATAATAAACTAAAAATGTTTTCTCAATTTCAGTATTGTTGATAAAGCTTGTGATTTTTAATTTTCTGAAATTTAAGAAGAGGAAAATACCGAAAAACGTTTACATTTAATTTTGAAAAACAGTACATTTATTTTAATGAATTTCAAAGATATTGTTTTCCTTAAAATGTCTAAAACTTTCGATTTCTGCAAGTTAATATAAAATAATGCGAACTGAAAATGATACTCCTTGCATAATGTTTTTATCTCCCTGTTTGTTTTTCGCATAAATGCTAAAATTTATAATTATTGAAATTATAAATTATGCAAAGAGAGAAAATTATCAAATAAAACATTTAGCTTACTCGAATAGAGCAAACATTTTCCTCGTAAAAACTAAATTAATTTTTAATATCTGAACCAAAGTGCTTCCAAATACATTGTTTGAATAAGTTAATATTTGAAAAAATGCTACGCGCAGAACACATTTTTCTTTTGAGGATTCAAGACCTCCTGGGCATAGACTAGCTTGCAGCTGGATTTTCTTTCTAAACTTAGCTTTTAAATATGCTTTTTAAACCTTGAGGAATAAGCCGCAACATTAACAACATATATGAAGATTAATTTATGTGCCATAATGAGATTATCAGTTCTTAAAATTGCAAAATTCTTAAGATAAAACACACAAATATCATTTAAAAATTAAAACCATATTAAATTTCTTTCTTTAAAAATATAAGTCAATAATTCCAATAATATATTAATCATCTTAAAGTACTTTAAAAAGTTTTATTTAACAATAATTTTCAAACAGCAATATTTTTTAATATTGTTTACATTTTTATGGGCAAAACAGCCTAATTTCGAAACTCTTAATTATAACAAAAGAAAGACCAAATAAACGCATAAGCAAGCAAATAAAAAAGATAATAAATTAGATACAATACGTTTCAGAAGAGCTGAAATTTGTTAAATATTGAAGTATTATACTAACTCGTATCTGGTCTCACATTTATTGAGTCAGTCTAGTGGAAATCGTGACCAAGATAAATTGTACGAGGAATTAATCAAAAATAATGACATTTAAGATGAAATCATGAGACAGGTGAACTCACGAGAATTTAGGTACATACGACAAAACTGAAATTTCATATAATCATGAATATTTTGTTTATCTAAAACTACTTATTTCCTTTTTGAGTTAGAAACTAAGGGGATCTAATTCATTTAATAAGTCCCACTAATTACCAGAACTAATTACCATAATTTTTAATTGCTTTGTGATCTTTTTTTGTGTGTTGTTTACTTAACTTTGAAGGCTCTTTTCTTTGTAGTCAGTTTTTTTAATGTTTATTTTTCAGTTAAAAAATCAAAAGAAAACCTATTAAAGGTAACTGTATAAAAGTAAAAAATAGAAACCTTAATTCTTCCTTTAGAAATTCACAAATTGTTAGATTTTTTTTCATATTTTTCAATTATAATGTGAAATTTCAATTCTAGGTTTTTTTTAAAGTGTAATTAAATATTCTGTAGAAGATTAAAGTTTGGAAAGTTTTAATTAAACCTTTTTAATATTATATTGAAGCAAAAATTCTCAATTTAGATCAAAAATTAAAAGCATTTATTGTTTCTTTTTAAACTTAAGAATGACTTATTGAATATTGTGATCATTTTCTTTACTATTTTTAAGATAAAAGAATGCGTATAAATTAAAACATTACGTGATTTTTTTAAAAAGTTTTAAAAATGATTTCTGGACCACATTAATTTAATAAAATATGCTCGTCACCCACAATTAGCACTACAATACTTAGAAACTTAAAATTAACGCTATAATTATGAAATTATTGATCTGGATATACAATGCTTTGTTAACAAAAACGCATTTTCTTTATTACCTGAAACAACGGTCAGAACCGGTTAGAAAGTTTTAGATGTGAATTAAAATTAAACAATGTTAATTCCTAATATTTTCCATCGGTTTTCCAGTGTTAGTCACATAAATATTGATTTATGACCAGTTATGTGTAAACTATTTCAACTTAATTTATGACAAGAATTTTAAAAACTATATATTATAGGAGGTAGTAATGAAATGCTTACAGAAATGTAAGAAATTTTTGAGGTTTATTTGAGGAGATTTTGAAGTGCCAAGTTTGATTTGAGGCTTATTCGAAGTTGATTTCAAAAACAACCTCAAAACATGAACCTCCCAAGGTGTATAATCAACCTATATGATGTTGTCTTATTCTCACTTGAGGTTGTTTTGAGGTAGGAGAAAATCTACGTCGGAGCAGCCAGCTTATGGTGGTTGATTTTGAGTTATAAGGATTATTTTTTCTACACTTCAAGCAAATTCGTATATTTAAGGAGCGAATAATTTCATAGGATCTAAATTAAAATTATTTCTGAGTTATATATGAGGTTGATTTTGTGAGATGCAAGTGAAGTTGAAATTGAGGTTTATTAATGAGGTCATTTTTGGGTTAAAACATAAGCTAATTTTCTATTTCAAATGTATTTTGCTACACCTGTCAACCTCAAAACAAGCTCGAAAACACCTTATATTTTTGTTAGGGCACCTACATATAAAAAAATAAAATCAGTTGTAAGCTCTATGAAAATTTCAGTTGTAAGAGAATCTCTCTGTTAAAAATTGAAAATAAATCTCATTCAATACACATTTTAATATTATAGAATAAAGGTTAATTAAAACAAACGCTTACAATTCTAAGGTACACTAATGGATACAAAATTGATTTATTCATTGGAAAATGCAATGTTATGCTCATATGAAATACTTTTTCATACAAAACATATTCATTTATATTAAATAAATGCTAAATGTTTAATCACAAATTCAATTTGTCTACATAAATAATATATAAGGTTAATATAAATGTGTCTAAAAATTTCTTATTAACAAAACAAATGGTTTTTGCTTTATTAATTTGAAATGCGTTATAAAAATTTAATTTGATTTGATGGTGCATGCAATCTCAAAAATATACATTTTGGAAAAAAATCAAGTTAATGACAAAACTTTGCTAATAAAGTATGAAAATTAACACAGGATAATTCCGGAAGGGATAACTGTTTTTGGACGATAACTCCAGAAGTTTTTTTAGTATTAACAAAAACTTCGTCTAAAACTGTTCAGAACAAATAGGAACATTTAGTAATATTAAAAAACTTGTTCACATCTAATTGACCGTTGTACATTGTTAAAATTTTCATTCTAAATTTATGATAAAATGACTGGCAGTAGTCTGGTCATCCAATTAACCGCAAAGTTTACGGCATAGAGCATGTTTTATTTTTACAGTTTTGAAGCTTTAAAAAAGAAATTTAACTGTACACAGGAGCTAGGCTAGACTTTAGGTACTGGGCATTGGAGAGAGAAAGGCTCAAATTTAATAACACTGGAAACTCTTCAAGTTTTGAAGGATATTTAAGATATATTGTGGTATTAATGATGGTACTCAAACCCAAATTCTGTCTATCATAAGACTGACAGATTTACCTTTTCAGCTATAACTCTTGCAAGGAAAAAAAAACGGCTACATCAGGGGGGCTTAGTTGGTACGTTAAAATTATGATTATTTTACCGTATTAAGAGAAGGCAGTTAATGAAGGGTTTTCTCCCTATTAACACTTTAATTAGCATCTTGTTTGTGCTTGACTATTTTGTTTGAATATGGTAACATAATAATTAAATTAATTGTCATTTAATCATTATCTCCGAGAAATTTCCAAAAATGTGACATACAAACTAAAATTACTGAAAATTCAATTCTTGAGTTTTTTTTCTTTCAAATTTTGAATTTCGAGAAACTCAAAATTTTAAATAATCCTTCAGAGACTGTCACTATTTTCGAAACAAATTGAAATATATCACAGAAAACATTCAATTTCATTACTACCATAACATTAAATTTTAAATACAGCATCGCAGTAACATTTCAAAGTGCATGTGAGAATTATAATACATTTTAAGGATATTAAAATTTTAAAACGGAAATTTAACTTTTTGTGCTTAGCATACCGAAAAACAATTAATAAAGCTCATGTTTCAGCATACACGCATGTATTAAATTCATGTTGTTGAGTTATACAAAGACAACTACTAAATTTGTAATGAAATTCCTCTTTTATGATTTATTGTGTTATAAATCATATATAAGCCAAAATACTTTTTTTGAAATGATTGTTTAATACATGAAAATTAATTAATCAAAAATGATGGTGGATGGAGTGAAAAATGTTTTATTTCATTCTTCTTCTTTATTAGCCCCGTATGGCCCGCTTTCTCAAGCGTTTTCCTAAAGGATTCCATATTTTTGGCCATGTTCTTCCAATTAATTCCTCATAAATTGGCGGCGTCTTTTTTTAGCAGTCGACCATCTGAGGTTTCGTCGACCCCAAGCTCCTGCTTCAGAGGAATTGGCCAATGAATATTTTCAATGTATGGCATTCTTTGTTCTCTCTAATAACATGACCAGCCCATTTAACTTTTTGGATTTTTATGTATTTGAAGACGTCGAGCTCTTTGAAGGCACGATAAAGTTGTAAATTGAGCGTCTGTCTTATAAAACCATCAGTAAGGAATAAAATATTTAATCAATTTTGAATTTTTATATATATTATATATA